TAGTTATTTTGCCAATAAAATTATAAGTTTTTTGTTTTTGTTTTCATCTTATGTATTGTTGTTATTTTGCTTTGGCTTTTGGTTTTATGACTTTTTTTTTTTGCTCTTTGATTTTGATTTTGATTTTTTTTTGTCAAGCTGCATTGCAGTGTGCTGCTTGGGTTTGCCAAGCTTCGGCGACTAATGAAAACAAAGTCAAACGATTTGGCAAGGTTATTATTTCTTGCACAAAGATATGTGTTAACACACACACACACACACACTAGTTCAGGCCAAGTCAAGCCAGCCAGCCAGCTGCTGGCGGCCTTCAGGCTGACTTTTGCCTGTTTGTTAATTGATTTCGTTGAACTTATTTTTCCTATTTGATATCCAGCGACATCGATCGACGTTTGCTACGCTCTGCCAATTCCAGAAATTCATTAACCTGAAGCCAATTACTAAATGAGAAGTTTCACATCTATAACGGCTTTTTTTCTACAGACAAAAATGATCAGAACGAAGCAGGAAATATTAGAGCGGCAAAGAGCTATTTCGAGATCTTAGATCTTCTGTCATTGAAAGAGTATTTAATATTCTGTGTTGCTTAGTTTATACAGCTAAATTACCTGCTGAGTTAACTGTATCATTACGTTGGGACTGCGCTGGAAAAGTTCGCCTACATTTATTTGCTTTGCTTTCATTTGATACTCGTGCACTTAGGGGACATTTTCTATGGAGTTTGCGCGATGCCAGATCCTCTGTTCGGTCGTCTATCAGATGCTGTTTAGCTGAGCATTTGTTGTCTAGGAAGTGTGAATGTATGTGTATCGGAATCTGTATTACTATTCGTATCCACATACGCATCTGTCTGTGTTTCTCTAACTGAATTTCGTGTGTATCTGTGTGTATTAGTGTTTGTATCTGAATATACATAAATATAAATCAACTAGATGCGGCTCTAGCTGAGTTGTTGATCTGGACATTACGGACATGTCTTAAAACTTAAGACTAAAGTGTATTTGTATCTGAATCTGTATTACTATTTGTGTCTGTATCTTATTGTATGAATCTGTGTTTCTCTAATTGAAATATCAGTTGTACCTATGTGTTTTAGTTTCTTTTCTTATCTAAATACATATATCTAACTCTAGAACTGTTTGTCTGCACCTGTATATGCATTTTTTCTATGTATCTCTGGCTGCAGCTTAACCTCTACCTGTATCTTTGTATAAATATTTGCATCCATATATTTCTATTTCCATTTGTATCTGTACTTGCAATATATTCAAATCCAAATTTGTATTTATACCTATATCTCTATACCAATATTCACATATTGATCAGGCTTATGCTAAAATATCATTCATGCCAAATAACAAACAACATAAGCCAAATATATAGATCTTAGGAATATTTTTGATTTACTTATTTGCATCATTTCCTAGCTCGTCTCTTTGCTCTAGGCTGAGGCAATTCCCTGTAAATGAGAGCTGATATTTTGATGATCGAACGACTTAAAGCCCTTAAGGTCATGTGCATTTGGCTGGGCTGGTCTCATTTAGCGTAGCTAAAAACTAGTTTACCTGCTCGCCCTTTAATGGATATCTCCGCACTTACACTTAACGCTCAGAGATTGAAATCTGTAGCTTCAATGACAAGCCAGCTCGACGCGTCGCCGCCTGTAAGTACGAAGCTGTTATCTTTGTGTGGTCCGCGATTTGTGCGGCTCGGCAATGTCAAGTGTCGATGCCGACGCTGATTGCTCACAACCGTGACTTGGCCACGCTATTTCCGCTTCCGCCTTTGGCGGCGGAAAGCCCAATAACAATTTGAGCTTGCATTGGTTTTTTGTTTTGTATTACCTGTGTACTTACCTAGACAAATTTAGTGTCTGCGGATCATGAAAGTACAATAAGAAATCAGATTAAATATTATTGTCGTAAATATATTTTAGTCCAGCCGAAATATTTAATTAAATGATTGAGGTAATTGAGAGATTTTTGTGGTGCTGAAAAGATAAAATAACAGATCAGTTCCAGTTCGTTTCTGGATTGCATTGGGATAGGGGACGATTATGAGGCTGGCATCAACTGGAACTCTTCTTAATTTCTGTCTGATTCTGAACTTAAATTTAAATAGTTAAAACTTTTTTTACATGCATACTTATCAAATAGGAATATCCAAAAAATAATTGCAGTGGAATAAAGATGACTTTCTTTGTTTTCGACTTTATTTGTAGCCTACATAAACACTATTATATAAGTTAAGCGCACCCACACTAGAGTACTAGTGATTGGGGACGCTGTGTTGGGTTCTTGTGAATATATAACAACTTGGTGTTCGATGAAATAATATATTTGATATAATTTGGAACAATAGGTCTGAGCTGTGTCTGGTCCGAATATAAACTGAACTAAATCTGTTCAACTGGTTAGGTTCTCCCCTTGAATGTCTGACTGGATTCTCCAGCCTCCTTAGATTGTCGAAAGTCTTAACTTATATATATATCTGCATACCGTTGTATCCCTGGGCCCAAGATGACGATAGTATGTTGATTTTAGCTGCTGGGGTTAAAACATAAAAATATAAAGGTCTCTTGATCTAATTATCTCTTTTTTTTT